ATAGTGTGAAATTGTTTGAAATGCTGTAATGCTGCATCATGTTGATTTAATCATTCTAGAGCTGAGTTACATGTTTAGGTGGTTGGCAAATATTTGGATACTAATATCAGGATTACAATAACTAGAACATAAAGAAGTGTAATAGGTAAAACCATAAGTCCTAGACTCATCTCATTCGATTTTTTTCATATGTTGCATTATTGTCTTCTTTAATTAATTGCTAAACATTAAGTCTTGTTTTTAATCTATCACACTCTCTTTGCATTTAAACAATCGAATTAATGTATTCTTGGTACTTGAAAATAACTCTGTGGGACGATAACTTGAGAACTCTTTTTGAAAACCCTTTATTACTTTTCAACGGGTACACTTACCCATGAATACCCAACAACAAGGTGGTAGATAAAATTCTTTGAATAATGCCAATGAAACATGATCATGTGGTGACTACAATAATTGAGTCTCACGACACATATACCATGATGGTAGTAGTATTACCGAGAATCATTGAAAATCATATAGTAAGAATTTTAGAGAAAGCAAAAAAAGTAAGTGAAGAAGACTTGAAGAGTAAGGTAAATCTCAGCAATGTAGTTGCATCCAGTCAAAGTGCAGAAAGTAGAGGTCGTGATAATTTCATTCAAGGAAGAGATAATAATTTGGAAGTATCCAACCAAGGAAAAGGTGGAGGAAATTTTGGTTTTGCCAACCAAAGAAGAGGTCGTGGTTACAACTATCAAGGTCACATGGATTTTAGTTGCTTCGGTTATGGAAAGTTAGGGCACAAAGTTGTAGATTGTTGGCAAATGTTGTAGAAAATCAGTGTCAAGATATTGGTGAGAATTCAAACAACCTAAAAAGTCTATTTATGACAAGCAATAATTTTTCAAAAGATAAAAACATCTAGTATTTAGATAATGGGCGTAGTAATCACATATGTAGGAAGAAGGAGTCATTTTCTTTTCTAGATTAAACAATCAAGTCTATAGCAAAATTTGACAACACTAATATTCTAATTTTGGAAAAAGTTCAAATCACAATTAACCTAAAAAATGGTACTCAAAATTTCATATATGATGTTTTTTATGCTCTCAGTCTTCATCATAATCTATTGAGCATGAGACAACTATTAGAGAAAGACTACAACATGTAAATTAAACATGGAATCTGCACATTGGTTGACAACAATGGGAGATCATAACCAAGGTAAAAATGACTCTAAATTGCCTATTTCCTTTGAAAATTCATCATGAAAAATATCTTTCATGGAGTTTTGCCATACCAAATGATGATTGGTTATGACATATACATTTTAGACAATTTCATTTTTCTAGATTGGATTATCTCTAAAACAAAGGAATATGTTTCTATATGGTTGTTATAAATATTTCCAATCGTGTTGGTGAGACTTGTCAATTAGAAAAGAAGTACAAAGAATCATTTTCTATAGGAAAATCATGGAGAGCAAAGAAGCAATTAAAGATTGTACACTTAGATTTGTGCATAATTGAGATTCCAATAGATGGTTGTAGCATGTACTTCATTACCTTTATTAATGATTTTAGTTAAAAAAAAACATGGGTCTATTTCTTAAACTACCAATAGATGGTTGTAGCATGTACTTCATTACCTTTATTAATGATTTTAGTTAAAAAAAAAAAAAACATGGGTCTATTTCTTAAACTAGAAATTAGAAGCTTGTGATGCCTTCAAGTCATTGATAAATGGATAAAAATGGATAAACAAATCTAGTTCTTGATAAGCCTGAAACATCTAACATATCACAAAGGCAATGAAGGCTACCAGCCAAATTAGAAGATTATGTTGTGGGTAATAATAATGACCTATCTAATGAAAAAATTATTTATTTTATTTTATTTACGTATTGTGAGCCAATGCTTTTTGAAGAAGTAATAAATGATCAAAATTGGAGAAAATTCATGGATGTTGGGATTCATGTAATTGAAAAGAATGAATTACATAGGAGCAACTAATAAAATGGGTGCATAAAACAAAGTACAAACCTAATGGTGAGATTTCTTATTTTAAAGTTAGGTTGGTGGCAAAACGGTACAAGAAGAAGCCAAGTATTAATTATTTTGAGATATTTACCTTTGTTGTAAGATTAGATACAATTCATATGATTATATCTATCTCGACTCAAAATAATTGAAAAATATATAAAATAGATGTCAAGTCTACTTTTCTAAATGGTACTTTGGAGCAAGAAAAATATGTTAAGTAGTCTGCAAGTTATGTGATTGAAAGAAATGAAGAAAAGGTCTAGAGATTGAAGAAAGCACTATATGACTTAAAGTAAGCACCAAGGGATTGATACAAGAAGATTGATTCTTTTATACAAAATGGTTCTGAAATTTGCCAATTTAAAGACACTTTATATATTGAATTTGTTGAACATAGAGATACTCTTGTCGTATGCCTTTACGTAGATAATCTAATATTATTTTGGCAACAATCTCAATATGATTATAGAATTCAGGGAGATTATGACAAGACATTTTGAAATGACAAATTTGAGTCTAATGTCTAATTTTTTTACGAAGAGGTCATTCAACAAGATGGTGAAATTTTCATTTTTCAAAAGAAATATGCTTATGATGTTTTGAAAAAAAATTCAAAATGGAGAATTCAAAGCCAATTTTTACACCAATTGAAAAAAATTGAAGTTAACAAAGAAAGTTAATGGTAAGAGAGTGGATCAAACCTACTACAAGAGTTTGATTGGAAGTTTTAAAAATTTGACTACAATAAGGTCATATATTACTTTTAGAGTTGAATTGCTCAATAAATTCGTTGAAGAGTGCGTGTAATTTACAAGGAGCTAAAAGAATTTTGAAATATGTTGAAGGTACTTTGACTGAGAGAATTTTTTATGCTAGTAACAATGATATGAAACTTGTTGACTATATAGATAATGATTGAGCAGGAAATGTGAAAATAAGGAAGAGCACGTTACAGTATGCATTTCATCTTAGTAGCAGTGCATTATCACGATCTTGAAAGAAATAACCTGTTGTTGCACTCTTAATAGCAAAATAGAATACATAATAACTAGTTGTGTAACTTAGATATTGTGGTTGAGAAAAATACTTGAAGTTATACATTAAAAGCAAGACATTTCTTTAGTAATATTTTGTAATTACAAGTCTACAATTGTTTGTGCAAAAATTTAATATTTTATGGATAGTCTAAGCAAATTAATATCTAGTTTCACAAAATTTGAGAAATAGTTGAAGAAAAAGAAGGGGAGATTAAATAATATTTCAATGAAGATCAAATCACTGAGCCATTGAAGTTTGAGTCCATTTACAAGTTAAAAAAAAGTTGCTTAAAATGACATGTGCTTGATTTAAGGGAGATAATATGAAATAACTAAATCAAACGGTAAAAGAAATATTGCAACACTAATAATTAATACATTCTTAAAACTAAAAATACTTCATGTCAAAGCAATAGATCCTTCGTGGTTTGGAGGTTGCAACAATATAATTGTAGGTATCGCATTGTGCTATATGTACCAATTATAGCAAAATCAAACAATACCACAAATTCAGAATAATTATAATGAGTTCACATACTCCATCTTTATCTTTCTTTATGGTTAAAAATCTTCTAGGATAATTATATTGTAAACTTGAGTCTATAAAAAATAACTCTTGTACAATACTATTATATCATTAAAAATCTTTTAAAAGTGAAAAAGACATCTCCTTTTACTCTCCTTATTTTTTTCTAAGTATGAGTTTGTGAAATAAATATGTGATTTTATAATGGCCAACTAATATCAATTATTTTTAAAAAATATACTTTAATTTTGATTTCATATTTTATTAATTTTATGACTTAGCTATACATAATATTAAGATTACTATGGTTTATTTATAAGTCTAGTTAAAGTGATTCCAACTTATTTCTTGTACACTCCTACATCTAACGACATTAACCTTTCATCTTCCATTTAATTTTAGGACAAACAAATTTTTTATTAATTCTCACTTAGAGTCGTGGTCAGTAATGGATCACCGAAAGAGTTCTTTTGAGGGTGAAAACTTCAATTTTGCAATTAACCCATTTAAAAGAATTGCATTAACATAAAATTATTTTATTTTATTTTTACCTAAGTGTCTCATTATTTGTTTAATTTAGTTCTTACAGAGGGAATGTTAATGTCATTGCCTTCTAAGCATATAAATGGCACTCAACGTGCCACTTAGGTTATTTTATCATTGTTAACTAACAAACATTAATGTAAGGACTAAACTAGATGATAAAACACAATTTAAAAATATTTAATAATGTTACTTTTAAGGATAAAAATAACTGATTATAAAATTTGAGAGATAAAAATAATATTTTATTCATAAATATAATTATATTTAGTAAGTAAAATAATGATTTTTAACTTGAAATGATAATTATCTTTTCTTATATTTTTTAATATTTCTTTTATGCGGTTTTCAAATCAGCTTGGCTAACAAATACACCTCTTACCTTTCTCATTCGATGAGGGATGGCCATCCACACATTCATCAAATTGAAAGTAACAAGAAAAGAAAAACGAGGCATAATAAGAATAGCCAGATTTTTATCCGGCAAAACATATCTCATATTTGATTGAGACGAAATAATAAATAAATATTTAAATATTTATTATTTTTAAATGTTTAAATTTAGTCTTAAAAGTTAAAGTTAACACATTAAAAACTATATTTATTATTTTAAAAATAATATAATAGTGTATTTGATAATTAAAAATTTGATGCAAATGCTTACGGTTTTAGAAAAAAAAATTAATGTTCAAAGATACATTGTATATTGCCAATACCAACAGAGAATTTACCATTTCAACAACAAACAAAAATTAGAAAAATGCAAATAGCCCTTCTCATTCAGTATCTAGTCACTACAACATGTGCAGCTTGCGTCACTATCAATATTAATGCATTAACATTTAATTTATGTTACTATTAATTGATAATTCAACGCTGTTCTCTTCGTCTACACAGCACCACACCTGAGTGGTAAGGTAGAATGGCTACGAGTGGAGTCAATGACGCACAGCACAACCCGGCTCATGACCCGGATTTGGATACTCCGGATAACCCGGATCACGAGTTGGCTCAGTTCGGAGCGGGTTGCTTCTGGGGTGTGGAGTTGGATTTTCAGAGAGTTGAGGGAGTGGTCAAAACTGAGGTTGGATATTCGCAGGGTCGCACTCCTGATCCCAACTACAAGCTGGTCTGCACCGGAACCACAAACCATGTTGAAGTGGTTCGGGTTCAGTTCGACCCGAAACTTTGCCCCTACGCAAACCTCCTCGCTCTCTTTTGGTCTCGACATAACCCCACTACCATCAACCGCCAGGTCCATAATTACCTCAATTATCATTTGTTTTCTTCGATTTTTATAATTAATTTATAATGAAGTATGTGGTTTTTGTGTTTGCATTTTTTCGCTGTCCTTTTACTCATTATCTTTTTGTTTTCCTTTTCGCACTTTTCACCAGTGTGTGTAACGAAAATTTTAAGAAGTAAAAAAAATAATTGTTCTGATGAACGGAAATCCTACTGCAGAAACCAACGGAGCCTAAATATCAAGGGCATGTTTGTATTATTAGGCTAATGGAGTTAGTACCCTTTCTAATGTACTTCTGTAAAAGGCTAAAAAATTCGGAAATGTTTGATGTACAGTTGGAGAAGAATGCTTTGGATATAGCTGTGTTTTTTAATGTGTTTTTGAGACGCATGTATATTAAAAAGATAAAATAAATTGGAGATAAAAAAAGATTATATACAGTGTACATATAGTATCAAATTTTAGTATTTCAATTAAGGGAACTAAAAGATTTTTTCCTACATGCCAAGGCTAGTTATGTGAATCTAAACAGGCCTAACCAATAATCCCAGTATGGATTTTCAATTTCGTAGCCATGTAACTGGAGGCAATTTTTTTTTTCTCCCATCAAGTCATGTCATTTACTTCATAGACTACATTATTTTATCTATTTATGCATATTGTATTCTGTGATTGATAGTTCCAAAGTTTCTTTAAACGATTATATCACCGTGTATTCCATGTCATCGTGGTTTAGAAGATAATGAATTTGTATAGATTAAAAAAATATTATATGCATAAACAGTAACTTTATGGAGATTGAAAGTTACCTTCTAATAGTATAAAAATAAGCATTTTTTTTATATTAATAAGAAATAAACAATTTTATTGCCATGCATGTTAGAGGAGGGCTTTGTTCTTCTTCAAAACATTTTATGTCCTTGGTTTACTTAATTATTTATTCATGCGTATATGTCTCAGGGGCATGATGTGGGAACACAGTATAGATCAGGAATATACTACTACAATGAAACACAGGGTCGTTTAGCTCAAGAATCGAAAGAAGCTAAGCAGTTGGGGTTGAAGGAGAAGATTGTGACAGAAATACTTCCAGCAAAGAGGTTTTACAGAGCAGAGGAATATCATCAACAGTATCTCGAGAAGGGTGGAGGTCAAGGCAACAAACAGTCTGCTGAAAAGGGGTGCACTGATCCCATCAGGTGCTATGGCTGATGTCGTGACTTGATCCACACTTCACACCATGTCCTGCTTCTATCACCCATCATCGTGAATGCTAATAAATTAATATTGTCAAAAATAAAATGTCATGGTGTTTGTACCAAGTGATTAGGTTTAATCTGGACTCCTGTTGAATCCGTGTTTCTTGAATTCTAGTTCGATCAATTGGTATCTAGATAAAGGGAAATGATAAAATCAATATAATAAATATCTCTTTTTAGTAAAATTTTACTACTTTTATATGCTTAAAATTATGATAAAGGCTCACGTTAATGAAATTATTAAATAAATGCTTTTAAGTTGTTGCTTTGCGTGAAACTCGACCATAGAAGGGAGACTACATGAGAAATTGCAAGCAGTAAAATCAATTTGATAGGTCTATTTTATTGTAATGTAAGTATAAATTTGTAGATGAATACATTGACATCGAATCTGAGATACAAATGTTATATAGGCAATTCCTAGCACTCAAGAAAACAACAACCAGGACTGATGAGAGCTTAATTTTGTAGGAAGCATTCAAAGTTCATCTTTAGGAGATGAGGAAGGTCCTGTTGGATTATCGGAGGAGTTTTTTATTGGGTAGGAAGCCTCCATAGCTATGCCACAAAGTCCCTCCTTGTCAGATATGTTCCTTTTCATTCTGATGTAACCCTGTTCTCCCCATTCTGGTCCCCAGGAGTTCTTCACTATCCAGTAATTAGTTCCATCAATTGTTGTTCCATATCCCACCACAGCTACACCATGGTTTAGCTCCTTGCCACAATCGCCAGTAAATACTCCCTGTAATCATTAGTATACAAAATTAAGATACCCTTTTGTTTCAATATACTAGCAACCCACACAATGTCCCCTTTTTTGTTTAGTTAAATGGGAAACATGTTTAGTGGTAATTAATGCTTTGTTCTAGCAAGTGTTGAAAATTTTTACCGTGAATAGGTGAATTAGATATTTACCTCTGAGTAGAACTGAAAATCAGATCCCCCAGCATCTATGGCTACAGACACAGGTTGGTTTGCAACAGCTTTGAGCAATGCATCTTCATCATTAGCAGGGACATTCTCATGGCCATCAATTGACACTGCTAAGTCATTCTCCTGCGACATGAATGATTTTTGCATAATAAATTTCCTCTAGTTATCAGTCAATTACATTAGCTTTATAAATGTTTATCATGGTATTCACCTTTGATGCATCGCATGTTCCTTCTTGTGCTATGTAAGGGTAACTGCTTTCTGTCGTTATGCCACCCTTTTGCTTGATGAACTCAAAAGCATATTCCATTAGCCCACCATTGCATCCTGCATTTTCATTTTTGTCACAATCCACCAATTCTTGTTCAGACAAAGAGACTAGCTTATTGGTCTTGATTTGGTTAATGCCTTCAACAGCTACAACAGTTGAAAACGCCCAGCAACTACCTGTAAGAGACATTAGTAACAATATTATTAGGACCTATATGTGCACCTTAATTCCACCTTATAGGTATTTACATAACAACGGAAGAGAGAAACTATAGCATTTAGCTTACCACATTGACCCTGATCCTTTACAGCAGTGACAGCACCTTTCTTCCTCCAATCCACAGAAGGAGGAACAGTACCGACCTTCTCATACATGAAGATTCCATTCCCACGTGGGGTGCCTCTGAACATCCTGTGGTGATTAACCTTTGAGCCAGCATAGGTACTCCTAAATTCATGGTTGGTCATGTCAGCGAACTTGTTTAGTTTCAGCTTGTAAGGCTTATCCATTTTGTTAGTGTTATGGACATGCATAACGTTTGTTTTGAACACATTAAACCGCTTGTGTTTGTCACTGAGGCTTCTAGAAACAGTGTGGTGACTCCTCCATCTCTCGTACAAGTCCCACAAGCTTTCCTCGGATGCCAAATCTTTGTCGTGGAAATCAAAGCTTTTGGCCACTCCAAGAACCAAAGCAAAGCATAGAACAACCCACAAGAGCCTTTTCATTTCCATGTTTGTATTAGGAATGGAATTAATTGAATTAATGAAGATGGGGTGAATAGAGGGAGCAAGGGATGCTTTTATACTGGGAAATGAGAGAAGAAAACAATAGAAAAATAAATAAGTCACGGGTTTCTTAAGGGCATCAACAATGGGCAATGATGAAGATGCCAAGACGTGGCACTCTAGAATTGTGAAGATAGGATGTGTTTGTGTTGTTCAAGAATGGAAGCAAAGGATTCAATAAGTGAAAGGAAGGAAACTTGAGAGATTTTCTTTTATATATTTTTTAATAGAATTGTGTCAGTTAGGTGCAGACTCTGAAGCTATATGTGACACTTTGTTTTTGTGTCATCCAATATCTGTTATTGTATGCTTCAAGGATCATCTTTCCCTTGCATGCAGATCACGCTATTAGATTAACGAGGGTGTCTGTGGTGAAGGAAAGTGCGGAGCATGGTTACGTCCGGTTTTGAGCTACCATGTATTGCAAGTGGAGTGAAACATTCTGATAACTGATGGCAGGTTTGGAAAAAATAATGTGAAAATGGACCCAAAAAGTAGAAATGTGTGGTGTGGTGTGGTGTGGTTCTCCACACAAAGTGTAACCAAATCTGCTTCTTAACAGGGCATGGCTTGCATAATTCTAACTTATGAGATAGTGATTTAACGCGTTTGTGATTATCGAAAAGCTCAAAAGTGGTAAATAAAAACCGATCATCTCGCTTATTTAACATTTAATCTAGTTTGAGTGTAACAATACGACACACTTTTTATTTATTAATCTTTAATATCCCTTTCCATCATTATGCACAGATGTGAATTTTAAAGGTAAGTTTGTTATTGTTAAATTGAGAATTATGATCAGGAGTTGGTAAGCAAAGTTGGCAAAGGCCTAGAATTTACTATATACCGTTTTGTTTTTCAATTTTGCAAAGGTTCCATTCGGCAAAAGCAATATGAAAGAAAATATTTTAGTATTGTTCAGTAGTTATCATTTGGCTCCAGCGTGATGCTCTTGCTTGTGGTAAAGGAATACAATAGCGTAATGCATCGGGCATCACCAGTTTTTTCAGTAATTGAAAATGCTATATTCTATTAGCATTAATTTTATTTTTGAAAATTATTATCCTTAATTTTGGCAAAAGTAATAGGCAATGTCGGTCAATTATGTTATAAAACGATGATGAGTTCGTGGCTTGCTTCCTCAAAAAAAAATAAAAATGCCCGTTTGCAATTTTTAAATTTTTGGGCTGTCCTTTGAAAGTTTTTTCAGGCATTTTGCCTCAACTATTACTATTTATAAGCTTTGCCTGAAGTCAAGGTCGTTTTTGTATTTCACATATTTTTACATGTTCACTACTGCTTTTGCAATATTTTTGAAATTTTAATTTTGAAAGTTATTAAATATTTTTTAAAAAAATTATATTCTGTAAGTGATTGATAATTCAGGTTAAAAATTTAATTTATAGATAATGTGAAATTACTTTAAAAAATTAAGTTCAAACATAATTTATAAATAATTTTAAAAAAAGGTTTACTATGTTCTAAAAATTAAGTTTTAAAAATGATGAAACAAAGTGGCATGAGAAGTAATATCCAAAAGTATGTTATTATATGCATTTTTCTATTATATTGCACATGATATATAATAATTTTTTATTAAAAATAATAAAATTCAATTTAATTTATTAATAATATTAAGTGTTATAATTTTCTATAAAAATGTACTATATATAATTTCTTATTCTGTTCAATATTGCACATGTTAAGAGAAATATTATTATTATTATTATTATTATTTTAACAAAAGCTTGTTCATGGGTTTATACATATCATGAGCCATGTGATGAATTTAACTAAGCTGCATGCATTTTCATCCATTCTCTCTTTAAGAGGATTAATCAAGCAATTGGATGGTTTTTAGGTCGGGGGTGCGTCTGACTTATATCTGAATTTAGAGTGAAATTTAAAACATTTGTTAAAATTAAATTAAAATAATGAAATTAATCTCAAAATAACTCGTACAATAATTATTTCATTTAATAATTTTTTATAAGCATTGGATTTCATCAATCTAGGGTTATATGTTCATGCTGGTCATTCATGTCAAAGTTGAGTGTTCATAGATATAGAATTCTATAACCAACATTTACTTATATTTTAAAAATACATATTAGCTGTTAAAATAAAATTATTTAGTGAATTGTTAATTTATATGATTTTTTAAACTTAATCTATTTAAGAATAAATTTTAATTTAATATTTAGATTGACAAAATTTAATATTTAAACAGAATTACTCATGCCTTAATTTAATTTGTTTCTCTTCTGAAAGATACAAATTTCTTACTAAATTATTATAATAAATTTATTATATTACATATTTATTTTAATACATTTGAAGTTAAGTACTATTTTGTTAATTTTAGGTTTCAAAAATTTTATTCATGTTGAAATAACATGAATTATTAACATTATTTCATGGCAATCTATCCGCTAGTGATTTTACTTCATTTTAATATTTATAATATTAAATATTATATATATAATTAAGAATAATCAAAAAATAAATTCAAATACCAAGATAGATAGAATAGTTACTAGTTAAAAGAAAAATAAATTATAATAATATAATAAACTTACTGTTTTTAGATAAAAAATATTTTCTTAAGCATTATTCATATATTAAGTAATAATATTTGTTTTAAGTAATAAATATAAATAATTAATATTATTTTAAAAGTTTTTTGTATTATAAATATTAGAGGCCTTAAGCATAGACTTTGGTTCCAAAGCAGTCAAGTAACAAAATCCATGGAGGAAAGAATTGCCATAAGAAGAGTAAAGCAAAAATAAATAAGAATATTCAATTCATGTGAATATATATATATAATCATAGCAATGGCACCCTTGACATGAGGTTCATTTTCTTTCTCATGACTGAAACAAGGTTAGAGTCGCTTCAATAGAAAATAATAATATAATAAAACTAAGAATATCAAATCCCAACATATGCAAATCTACATGAACATTGCAATGGAAGTATGAAACTGCAAGAGTAACATATGCATTCTGCAAACCATAAGTTATAACCCCAGTGTAAATAACTGTATCTGTATTTTTGTACCTTTTCCTTGCATGTAACAAACCCAGTACCAACGTTGCATATGCTCCAAGAGATTGTTTAGCTAGCTCGAATTCTATCCAGCCAATCAATGCTCTTCCGTGGCCTCTCAAATTGAACATCAACACTTCTCCTGGACTTATCTTGGAACTCAATGCCTCTCGATTTATCGTTGTACTCCACGCTTCTTCGTGATCTCTCCATCTGATCAAATTGGACTCTAAACTTTTCTAACTTTTCACCATTGTTGAATTTGAATTCATGATATTTAAGCTTTTCTGTCCTATCAGTACTTTTCCTTGGTTTGTCTCTCTGATCAGTACTCTTCCTTGGCGTTTCGAAGCAATCGGTGCTTCCTCTGGATTGTTCAACTCTATCTATGCTTCTCCTGAAACTCATTCTTTGTGATGGCGACTTTTCCACTGTTGATATAAATTTTCTCAGATGTCGAAGGTATTCTGGAAAGAGTTCCAAATTACAGTGATTTCCTAGTTTGAGCCATAAAGGTTCATATTTTTGTTGACACAGCTCCCACAACTGCTTGCCATGAGAGCAATCAACAACCTCATCTGCAGTTCCCTGAAGAAAGTATGGGAAATGATGTCAGATTAATAAAGCCACAAGAAATGTGTTGTGCCCATAAAAGTTACTACAGGGAAGTAATATTTGCCATTCTAAGTTACACAAGAATGCAATTATATAATGTTTATATCATCAACAAAGGCTGGTTTCTCTTCAAATTTCATCCAGTAAAATCAGCCACAATGAACAAACTCCTACATTTTGTGTTCACTGGCTAGTGTTACAGAAAATGCCATTCTCCATTTATCAACCCGTTTCATGATTTTCATCACAGGTGTCAGCAGGGAAAAGGAAGTTGTTTGTAATAAAAGATATTCTATTAGTATTTGTCACTTGGAACACCAAGCTAGTACACTAAGCACTGTCATAAGGACTATGACAATTATATTTGTTAAATGGATAACAGTTAAAAGCTCATAGTAACCACAAAAATCATGAAGAAAAAGGAAATAGTGAGTGGGAAATCCAACAAAGAAAAAGGAATACTTACATGAATTACTAGCACTGGGCACTTCACCAATGGAATCTTATCAATGTTCTGCACAACAATAACACAGAACTAAGTTCAGATACATCATGAATACATAATTTTCAAATCAAATGATGTCAAACAAACAGGGAAATGAAAAATCTAACCTTATAAATGTCAAACCAGTATGTCCTTTTTACAGGGTACATGACTCTCAACCCTGATAGTATAGGACTGTGGAGAACAACAGCCCTTAGTCGGGGTAAACGGGCAGCAAGATCCAAAGTAGGACCACTTCCAACAGATTGACCATAAAGGATGATGTCTTCCTGCTTAGCACCATAGTTCTCTTCAAGATACTTATATGCAGCTTCAATGTCAGCATAAGTATTATGCTCACTTGGCTGTGAAAAATATCCAGATTAGTCTTTCATGATGCTTCTTCCTTCCGAGAACAAAAGAATTAAATAAATAAGAAATTAGTGCATAGAACAGTTACCTTCCCCAATGACTGTCCATAGCCAGAGTAGTCATATCTGCATACATTGAAACAAAATGGTTAAGAACATCAGTATCATATAACAAAAAATGTGTTCTCTAACAAACACAAAATTTATATGGTAGCCAAGTATAGTACTTCAAGTACCTTTTATCATTTTCTTATGTGAGTGTGTGTGTGTGTGTGTGTTGGGGTGGGGTTCCTTGAGATATGTTCTATAAAGTACAGTCTCAAACAAGATTGCTGTTCATGTGATTGTGACCTTATTTATGCTTCAATAAAATATTTCTTATACAAAAATTTCTTTCACCACAGAAAAAGGAACATAGCATCTGATCTCTACATGTTTGGATGCAAGGCATTAGTATGTCAAGGGCAACTCCATCATAAACATCCTTCATTATTACTCCTAAAGTAATCCACCAGAGTTTACAATTTCATCTGTTATTGGGCATTAAGGTGTTGCTGTCATCCCTGAATTGGACGTAAGAAATCACACTGTGGAATTGAACTCGGGTTTGATGGGGCAATTTGGGAAGTTTAGAAGCTAACAATTCAATCATACCAACTATTTCAATATCACCAATAACAGCAGAGGGATTTTCTAATATTAAATCCAAAACATAAGCTTTGGTCACACTGCAGACCAAAAACCACGGTACCCTCCGCAGAACCAAAAAGCATGATGTTGAGCATAAGCGATGTCATATCTCAATTTCTGGAACAACTTGAGCATCTAATTATGAACTTTATAGCCGTTCACTTCCTTCACTTTTTTAAAGAACTTCCTCCATGTGCCCCCAAAATTCTGTTAAGGTAAAGGAAAACCTACCCAAGATTGAGAAGCGAAACAAAAGGGGCCAATTTGTGTCACATCAAAATTGAAACCATCAAACAGGTATCACATCCCATATATCCTTGGGGACTACATTCCTTACATGGCTAGCAAAACTCCAACTTCACACGCACCACATTCAGATAGTTTTTTAAGTATAATTAAAAAATGAAAACGACTGAATACTACATACACTCCCACATTCACCTGATCTATCAAGTATTATAATCACGCAAGAACCACATAAAATACATAGCTTAGTCTTCACACACAAAATTAGTAAACTAGAAAAGCAGGTCCACACAAATGAACTATATCCAGAAATTATCACTAGATTTAACACATGACCAAACAGCCCTCCATCTTTGACTAATCAAACCGAACAAACAACAAACCCATCAACATCAGAATTCATTTAGACCAACCCAACTCAAACAGCACAACAAAGCTTCCAACGGCAAGACCCGAATCCAAAAACACATATCATTACAAAATTAAACTAAAAAAGCACGAATTCACCCAGGGAATCCAAAAGGATGTTTAAAAAAATAAAAAAGGTGGAAAATTGAAGTACCCCATGAGATTAACACGAAGGTGGATGCTCAACTCGACGAAGAGCTCATACATCTGACCAATATCTGCGGCATTACCATGCGAATAAAGAATGGTGGATTTGGCCATGGGGTGTCGAACGTACATGGCCACGATCTCAGTTCCACGGCGATTTGGGAACTTGAGAACTTCAACGTTTTCACGGTGTGGAAATAAGTCCATGAGTAACAGCCCCGTTGCTTCTTCCTTCACGAGCTTGTAGGATGGTGGGTTGGGAGGGAAGAAGGCTAACTTTGCTGCCATTGATGACGTCACTCCACCCATCTTCTTGTGGACCGAGTTACTGAGCTGGTTCTGCACCGAGTTATTAGTTCTTCATATTAGTGAACCTTTTTGGAGAAGTGAATGAGAAGAAGGATGATTAATGGGTGTGAACTGAACCTGACCTGAGTCACTTACTGGGTTTTTATTTTTAAATTTTTGGTAATTAGTTTTGGATTTGTTTGAGCGTTGAGGGGGGCAAAATAATAGTTCTTTTTATATTTTCTTTTCTTTCTTATTATTCTCATTCCTATCTTTCTATTAATTAGTTGTCTCTTCCACAGTTCCACGTGTTGTCCTTTAGGCCTGATGTTCTTCTCCTTACCTTGTGGTCTTTGTTTTTCCTCTCTCCAACATCATCCCTCAACTCTGTAGTATCAAATACAATAATTAATTCTTTTTTAATAAAAAATATTAATGATGATATATTATTTCAAATAAATATGTGTATATTTAAGAAGATAAACAGATAAATAAAGGACAGAAATAATTATGTATAATTAATTATAAATTATTATAGTATAAGTATACTCTCTCTTCTTTGGAAATAATGTTTTTAGTAATAATCATACAAAAACAGAATAATTCCTATTGAGTAAATGTATTAAATGTTTTAAAATTTGTGTGCACTAGGTTTATATTAATTAATTATAAAAATATTAGCATAATTTGTCAAAAAAGTTACAACATTACTCAAGAAAATAATAATGAAACTCCCTCTTTAACAAGTTATTTTACTTAAATAAGAAGGAAGTGGTAAATAGAAGTTAAACTCTTACTATGTTAATTATGTTTATTTAATATCTAGTTTAAAAATAACTATAAAGAAAAGAATGATACATTGATAAAGTGCAACATGAATAATAATTTGCATGGGGTGTTTGAATGATCGAAAATAAAAATGGTAATTATATGTGTGGGTGGAGACCAGTGAAGCAGGGGAAAGAGGGTGGAGTAAAAAAACAAAAAAGTAGAGAGTATCAATTAGTTAAATGATTTGGTGGAGCAGCAACAGGGTGTCCCATGTTGATGTCAAACTCAGGCCTGTTTCTCTATGACCATCACCATGATTTCTCTCCTAAGGAAGGATAACCCCTTTCGGCATCGTGTTTTTTGGACCAATGGGACCTCACATTCACACGCCCACAATAGGAATGTCCTGTTTAAAGCAACACTCCTCTCTCTCAATGTCATGTTACTTGCCCATTAATTCTTCATCATAGAACTTTCTCTCTTTTTATTTAATTAAATTAAGAAGAATCTTTGTTCGGGAATTTTTGAACAAGAACCTCGTTTAGGGTAATCAAGCTCCATCAACGGCTCCAATTGTCTTCATCTTCAGTATCCTAAGCCTCAAGGTTCGCCACCTGGGACCCATGTTGCTGGAGAACAACATTTTCTGTTCCATTATGCCATGTTTTTTACGCTGTCAAACCAATAACAATTCAAGTGTACAACCTAGCAGAGTACTATGACAAACCAATACAATTAAAATAAATTCAAGTCTCGTATACCAACACAGAATTAAATAAAGTCAGTGAAATCACTGCACATAGCTTTACCTAACTACAAGTTTTAAACTTTTGAGACACATAATTTGGTAATTTTATGTAAGAAAAAGCTCACCAACGTTGCAAACATATGCGTTTAGTTTAACGTTTTAATGGAAATGAGTCATAATTAAGGCTACGCAATAAAGAAACAGCGAATAGATATAGAGCAATGACAAAGGCTACTACCAGTTGCGTTGATCGACGTAAGATAAGGAATGTGAGAGACTTTTTGCATTTGCCAATGAATGAGGCTTTGCGTGACATGTGTGTGCATTCATGTTTATCACAGGAAAGCAGATGCAGATGCAGACCCAAAGAAATATCTGTTGCCTTAATCTTATCTTAATTCTTTTATAATTATAAATTAACAGTTTTAATGTTTTTCTACGTTTTATTTTATAATTTTTAAGTATATATTATTAAAATATTCTCATTTTGTAGGGTACAGAGAGAATAAACATACATATAATTTAATAATTAAAGTATAAATAAATATATTTTGTCTAAGAATATCTCAACAGCTATTTTACAGTGAAAATCATCCCTCTCACTTGGCTAATGACTTGCTGTGACTATGACGAACACATGGGTCCATCTTTATATTTTTGGGTCGAAATGGGGGCGACTCTTGAAGTAGTCTATTTAACTTACAGTGAAAAAGAAACCATTTTCCGACCCAAAAATAGCTATGTCCTGTCTCATGTGAAACCCATCAAGAAGAAACACAGAAACTAACTGCTCCTTTGCCCCACAACTTTGGTTTTCTGGCCATGGGCTTCTCTTTTTTCAAGTTTTAAGACTACATATGTACTTGGTTCTATGGACCTCAAAATGAAAAGGAAAAGAGGTTTAAATATCTACAACCCTACCCCTAAATTTTAGGGGTTGATTAATTTTAAAATTATTATTTTTTAACTAACATAAAACCACCACCTATTTTTTTTTTATTTTTTGTATAAATCTTCTAAAAATAAATTAAAAATAATGTGACATTTTTATAATTAAAAATACAAATCAAAATTATATTTTAAAATCACAATATCCCTTAAATCTGATGGGTTTACGCCATACTGTAATACACATATATTAAATTGATATATTTACTAGAAAGTTTTATGTTTTTATTATTCTATGAAATTGTGATAAGTAACTGTCAACATTGTAATGACAAAAATTATTAGTTAGATTAAAATAATTAATGTTTAACAAAGTTAAAAATTAAAAAGTTTATTTTAAATTTTAATAAATGATTTATTTGACATTTATAATTTTGGAAACTAATTTATTTATTTTTATTAGGAGAGGAGATGTGAGAAATTATTTTTTAAAGTAAATTTTTGTTTTTGTTTTTTGAAGTCCAAAGTGCACCAAATTTTAAATAACAGTAAGTGCCTGAGAAAAATAAAATTAAAATGATCAAAAGTGAGCAAAACATGATTGAATTGGTTCATTCAATAGATGACAAAACCAATGAGAAAGAAAAACCTTGCTCAGATGTATATATTGATCAACATTAAAAAAAAACAATAATAATAGCGAAGACAATAGATTGATTAACTATGTCTACAAGGCTATCACCATTTATTCATTTAATGACAAGGAAAAGATAAACATAAGAAAGAGTCATTTATTCATCGTGTTGTTTCTATATATCTATAGTGTAGACAAAGACGAGGGTGGTGGAGTGTGTTGTTTCTTTCGGATGGTAGCACAAGAGCGACCAGACATAAGTCTACGAAAATTGTAGGTTCTGAAGATGTGTTTGATGTTACGCTCAACCTTTTTTTCATTGCCACCGAAGATGTTACAAACGGCATTTAAGTAATCGAAAGGTAATTTCCCTGTTAAGCGCAAATAGAGGGAAATGGAACGAAACACGTCCCTGCAAGAAACGCGATTCAGATCGAAGGGTGGAGGAGATCCTGAATCCGCAGGTGGCGGAGGCGGTGGCGGTGGCGGTGGATTCAGTCGTAGCCTGAGACAGTACTCTATGTTGCTGGCTGGGGCAGGGACACATGATGACGTCATCATGGACAACATTAACATCAAAGCAACTATCGCAAGGGACGACATTGTGTGAGAGAAGACAACGTTGCTAACATGTGCTCTTGGGATTTCCAACAGGTGCCTTTTTTATTGGACTCAGATCCGTAACTTCTCTTATTTCCATTATAGTTATTGATTCATTGCACGTTTCTCGATTTTCTTACGTTTCTCGAATTGCACCTTGTTGATTAGTTTATCTTGAATTGCAAAGTCCATGGAAGTCTTGTTTGAAGAACTATTTAGGTGGCATAGACTGTGTATTAAATGAAACTTATCTCAATTGTATTTATTTTTCTTTATGGTTTATGAATAAATGAAATCAGGAAGTTGAATTTATAGAACTGAATATGTATTATCATTATATTAAACAGAATATTTTTTACAATTGTCAAAATTGTCAGAACATAATTCAATGTTGCAAAATTTAGTAGCCTTTACCAACTGCCGAAAAATAACAAAAAGCAGATAAAACCACCACTAAACATTAAAAAAATATTGCCGTTATTTAATAATTTTTTTTAAGATTTTGTTAATTTCAATCATTAAACTTAAGTTTAAGCATCTAAAAATATAAAATTTTTATAAAAAAAAATACCGTTATTACATTAAAATTATAAAAATATAATAAATACTTTTTTTTTCTCTTAAAATTTTACTATTATTAATTGCTTATTTTCAATTATAAAGGTTGAAATTAACAAAATCTTTTTTTTAATAGTGTATAAATTGTTTGCAATAAAAATTAAGAATTTTATTTTATTTTATTATTTTATATTTAAATTATTTTATATTATTTATTTCTAATTTATCGTTCTATGTGTCTTATTTCTTATTATATATAAATGCCTTGACTTTTTATTATGAATTTTTTAAAAGTATAAACTTAATTTTTTTTTTAATAAGTCAAGTTATAACCTTTAAAATCTTAATCTATTTTCATTTTTAATCAATTTTTTTGAGTATGTTAGAAAAATAATATTCTTAAAAACTTAAAATAAGCATCTTAATTAATAAAAAAAATTGATTTTACTTTTTTATTTATACTAATCATAAATTAGTGATGAATATAAAAATATTTTCATTTTTGTTATTAGTGATAAATTATTTGTTACTAGGATATCAATCAAAATCAAGGTCAATAAAATTTATAGTGTAAGCTTGCCTTGCACTCATCAAGTTTATTTAAGTTTCGAGCTAAAAAATAGTGGTTTGGTCCGCTGGATTACTACGGTGTGGGCTAGTCATTTGGGTCTATTTAATTTTTTTTATTTCAGTATTATTTAGGTCAATTTTCACATTTTTAAAACAAATTTTGTAAAAAAAGTAATGAAATGAAAAATTTTGCATGTATTGGAATTTGAAAATATATTTCTAATTAGTTCAAGTAAAAAAAATCATATAAATACTGTATTATACATATGATTTCATAAGTTTATAAATTTATAACTTCTTATAAATACTTGATTATACTTATATATTTCACAAGTTTATAAATTTACAACTTCATATAAATATTGACCAATAAATAATTATTTAGGCTAAATTTATTAAAACAACTTATAAGTTGTTCAAATAATATGTCCATTGTCTAGAATTGAATATATGATGATCTTGACATTGATC